ATTTATTTCACTTCCCAAATGCAGTTTCTCCTCCCTCCTCTCCTTCCATTCCTTTCCCTCAGTTTCCCTTCCCCCAGAATCCCCCATGTGTTTCTGATCAGAAGAGGGAAGGACTCCCATGGGTGTAAGCAAAGCATAGCGTAGTAAGTTGAGGTAGGACTAATCTCCTACCCTCATATTAAGGCTTGGTAAAGCAACTCAGTAGGAGGAATAGGTTCCCAAAAGCCTGCCAAAACATTAGGGACAGGCCCTGCTCTCACTGCTACGAGTCCCACAAGTAGACAAAGCCGTACAACTGTCACATATATGTAGAGGAACTAGGTTGGTACCATGCAGGCTCCTTAGCTGTTGCTCTAGTGTCTATGAGCTCCTTTGAGCCCAGGTTAGATAAACACCTTCATCAATACGGCTAGATAAAAGATTAACTCAAAAAATTATCAGTAGCCCTCCTCCATACAAATGATAAATGGGCTGGAAAGAAATGAAGGAAACAATGTCCTTCATAATAGCCACAAATAACATAAAATATCTTCGGGTAACTCTAACCAAGCAGGTGAAAGACCTGTATGACAAGAACTTTAAGTCTGAAGAAAGAAATTGGAGAAGATATCAGAAGATGGGAAGATCTCCTATGTTCATGGATCTACCAATTAACATAGTAAAAATGGCCATCTTACCAAAAGCAATCTACAGATTCCATGCAATCCCCATAAAATTTCCAACACAATTCTTTACAGACCTCAAAAGAACAATATTCAACTTCATATGGAAAAACAAAAAACCCAGGATAGATAAAACAATCCTGTACAATAGAGGAACTTCCCTATTTCAAGCTCTACTACAGAGCTATAGTAATAAAAAGAGCATGTTGCTAGTATAAAAACAGACAGGTGGGTCGATGGAATTGAATTGAAGACTCAGGAAGTTGTTCTTGATGTTTAGCAGAACCTTCATTCCCCCTTTTTAATTATTGTATTAATTAATATTCTTTCTAACTGTGAAGAGTTTCAGTTGCTTTATGTCTTCCTCCTTGCTTGTCTTCCATTCTCTCTACATTTTTTCTAGAGTTAAGTTGTAGTTAATTTTTTTCTTCTAATATGTTTTTTCTTTATTTTCTTTTTGAAATGAAATGATATCTTAATTTAGATTGATTTATATTTCTAAAATGACTAATGATAATGAGTATCCTTTTGTATGTCTCTTATCCATTTGTGTGTCTTCTTTTGAAAGATACCTGTTTTACTATACAGATCATTTTTAAATGAAATTATTTGTGGGTTTTATTTAGGAGGGGTTGTTAATCTATTTTACTATTTACCTTTTGTACACCTTTTATAATATATATCCATCCCCTTAAGATTTAAATTTGCAAATATTTTGTTATTAGAGCTATATTTCTTGAGAAATATATTTTTGTATTGTAAAGTCCAAATTTTAAGCAACAGATCTTTTAAATAATTAATATTAAAAACCCTGTATGTCATAGGAGATACAGAAATGCCACTTACATTTCAGTGGATTTACATTTATTTCTTTTGCTAAAGTTTCACTTGATTTTGATATTTTTGTCTTTAATGCAGTTTTCTTTCCTTTCTGGTTTTCAATCGATGTAATCTAGATAAGTTTTTACAAGAAAATAATACTTTTTATTGCACACACAAATATGATCTGATTGTGTGGAACTGAGTGAAAGTCTTTTCTTAACATGTGTTTGGTGGATAAGTGATATTTCATTAACATCTATTGAATTCATAACAGGTGCCAGCCAAGCAGGAAATTCTGCATCCACAATGAATACCAAGCAAAGCTAAATGAACTGAAAGGTGGATGGATATGGCAGTTTAAACTGAAAAAGAATTATTAATTCTAAAAGTATATTTTCTGGGCTAATTCTGTGATTGCCCTCATAGTACAGTAGTGAGAGACAGAGAGAGTCTGACATGATTGTTGCCCTTAGGTCCTTACTGGAAAGGCAAGGAATCTGGGAAAGATAAATCCATTGCCCAAATAAACGTAAAAAATGATACTATGAAACAGAAACAGCTCTTTTGGAAGGATTTTTCTATTTGGAGGAAGTAAACATAGAATTACTTGTGGAGAGGTAAGCAGTGTTGGCATCCAAGAAATAGGTGGAATTGAATAAGCATGGAGGTAAATAGAACTGTGAAAATGAACACTGGATGTAGTCTAGGGTATGAGACGATGAGATGGGCAGAAACATGATGTGTTTATTTGTTAAAACAACACTAAATTATTCATGTGATTTAGCATGGAAATAGAATGAACTGATTTTATATTTAAAAACAGTAAGTCCCCAACTATGATGGTACATACCTATAGTGAAACCTTGATCAGGAAGATTGTTCCAGACTCGCTTGGGCTATATAGCTAGACTCTGCTCCTCTCTTGATAGATTGGTAAATGATAGATAGATAGATAGATAGATAGATAGATAGATAGATAGATAGATAGATAGACAGACAGATAGATAGATTTATAGATAATAGGTAGTAGAGATTATAATAGACAGTATAGATTATAGATAATGGATAATAGATTATATTTATATCTAAGAGATTAAAAACAATGAAAATAATTTTGTAAGGTGATGGACATTCACTTTGGTCTTGTCATTATATCATAAGGAAAAGGTCTAAGAAAACAAACCATTGTACACCATAGAAACATATAATTGTTATTTCTCAAGTATCCATTACTAATGCTGAGACAATGGTTGAAATATTGTCCTATTTGTTTCAATGCATCCTCCAACTCTGCTACATACATTTAGGAGTTTGTCAGCTGAATGTATAGTCACTACATTATAATTAAAAATAAGTGAAAAAAAGATAATTTGAGATCAAAAATTTAAATGCCAACAAAAAGGTAGCTGGAGGAGATTCTGAATATGTGCATGAAAAGTTATAGTAAAGTCTAAGATATGTTATTAAGGGAAAAAGCATTGGTTTGGAGGTGTGTCAAGTTTATTTTAGGACATGTTAAACTTTCAAAGTCTATGAAGCATCAAAAGCACATGTTGAGGCGAAATTTTGGAAAGTAGAAGACAAGTGTTCACCTGGAGCTGAAGGAGTTTCTGAAATAATGAGATGGGTAGAACAACAGAGCTTCAGCAGAAACTCGGAAGCACGAAATGCCACCTAGAGGAACTTGGACAAAGCGAGATTAGCATTGGAGCTATAGTTCTGGGGGATACCAATATTTACCTGTTTTCCAAGAAAAGTCAAAACATCTGATCAGTGAACATCTTAGGAAAATGAACTGAGGGCTGATGAGATCGCTGAAAAGCATTTGCTGCCAAGCGTGATGATCTATGTTTGAGGCCCAAGTTTTACGTGGTGATCGGTGAGAACCAGATTCTTGCTACTTGTCCTGTGACCTGCATATACACACATAAGCACACATGTAAACACACACACACAAAAAAAAAATAGAAATTTTAAAAAATAACTTGGGTTAACTAATTCAAGTGTAAAATTTTCTTTCTGCACAGCTAAACACGTTTATTGAGGCATTTTATGTTTGATTTATGATAGCTCTGTGTCACAAGTGAACACGTTTAACTATACTATAAAACTATATTGATTTCTGTATGTGTTTGTGTGGGATCTTTGTTTTAAAAAATGCAATGCAAAGTCTTTCCTAAAACAAGGCCAATAATTCACATGATTTAGCAGGGAGACTGAGTGATCAGGCTTCATATTTTCAGAAAAGTGAAAAATGTGGTAACTATGTGAGGTGATAGGGGTGTTCATTATTGCCATGATTATTTCACAATATGAATCATCAGCGTTTTGCTTATTTAGCCGAGGAAAAAGGTTTTATGTGTAACCGGTTTAGAATTGAAATTCGACATGAATGGAAGATTGTTAGCATGATGCCACGTGCACTGCTGTAGGGTTGTATCCCATTTGAGGAGAGCCAGGCTGTACAGCTGTATCTGTGGAAGACATGGACTTAAGCTTTCTGTGTTAAGCCACTGAGTACTTCAATTCACACTGGCATATTAGGTGCATGGTGATTTTTAAGAATCAAATAATGTTATTTAAGCAAAGCAAAGAAAAAAAAACATGTTGCCCTTTACAACTTAATGTCTGAAATAAGAAAATTGATATTGTGAAAGTTCTACCATATAGGAAGTCATTAAAATGTTATTTTGTCATGAAAAGTATGTTCCTTAGCAGAGGAACCGTTCTCAGAGGAGGCAGGGAAGATTTCATGAAATAAAATAATTCCAAGGATTCTAGCCTGCACTGAGCAGGAGGATCTTTCCATTGTGGGGGTTTGCTCTCTTTAAACACTTGCAACAGTTACATCCAATGCTTCTACAGTCCCGCTCAGCAGGAATTCCTAAAGTATTCTAATCACTTCTGAGTTAGAGCTGTTTGCAACACTCCACATTTGCATGGAAGACCTACCCCTGAGCTTCCCGAGTTCAAACAGCAAGGACAATAACAATTCAGAAATATCAGGAAACTTACTCCAGTCAGAGTTCAGTCTGATATCTGCCTTTGCTCCATCTACACCAAATATTTATGTATATCAGCATAATGATCGATCATTAAATTTTCTTCTCTAATTTGCTGTAAAGCCTGCATTTCATTTCTTGGCTCTTCTTCAGAAGCCCTTTTTATAATAGTGTTTCCTGTTCAAGTCTGCATAGACTGCCGTGTTTGTTGAATAAACTCGATTATTAAGTGTACTGTTCAGAACTTTGCATGATAATTTGCATAACTACTGCCAGAAGTAGGCTTTCCTCCCCTAGGAGGCAAGTGTGCAAAGAAAACATTATGAATTTTCATTGTTGTCTGTTTGTTTTTACCTCTAGGCATATTCCAGTATGATGCTCAAGTGCGGTGTTTCTTTTTTCATTTAGGACACATTCTGCTAATCATATGATTGAATGCTTTGCAATGCTGTGTGTCAGTTTATTCCTTCTGGTTACCACGGGCCTCTGCTAATGACCTCTTCTCCCATTTCAGGGTGAAACAAAGATCTTAAAGCTAAAGAATCTTAGACCTCAGGACTACGCTAACTACAGCTGCATTGCTTCAGTGAGGAACGTGTGTAATATTCCAGACAAGATGGTGTCATTTAGACTTTCCAATAAAACAGGTACAGAACTGCCAGTGTATTTTATATAAGTGTTTCGTGCAGCTAGTTTTTAGAAAGCCCTTTAATCTTTCTGGGCAGTTGATAGCTACAGATGAAGAGAGTCATCATTTTTTTTTTTCTCAGAAATGTTTGGGATACCTCTAAACAGGAAAAATAACAGAAAGAGGCTGTGTGATGTTACTGTGTGTGCAATGTAGAAAATTCTAGTTTCTTAAAATATTGTAGTCATAAATTTTACAAATTAGCCTATATATCATTTAAAGGGAATTTTGACAAGTATTGGATTCTTCATATAAAACTTTACCATCTAATTTGCTGCAAATGTCTTATGGTTACAAAGCTAAATAAGACTCTTTTGTATGCTATATTTACAAATTTAAAAAATGTAATGGGTAAATTCAAGCAGTTTTTATCAGTTTTAGCAATATTTTTGTACAAGAAAGAATTAATGTGTTCATACGTCTGAAACACTTAGAACACACATTATTTCTTCTCCCAGCCAAGAACTGATCAGCAAATTCTAACTAACTTACTTAGTGAAAAGACTTTATAGAAATAGTTTTCAGACTATGTTTCTACTTTTGTTTTGTATCTGTTTCATTGATTTCTATCTGTGCCAACAAGTTGTTAAAAATTGAAATGTCTACTCTTTTATTCATTTATTTATTATTCAATGATTTCTTCATATCCTATTGTGTGTCAGAATTTATGGATAGGGATATTGGCCAAATGGCTTTACAGTAGAAACTGCTGTATTAAACACTGTGTGAAAGTCAGACAAAGCAAATATAAAAATAATGTGGGAGGAAAAAGCAAGCTTTACTAGAGAGGTTATAAAATATTTTGTAGAAAGTATGTTTCAGAAAAAAAAAAGTAAAATCCTAATGGTCTTAAGACATTAATTAAGTTAGTGAACTTTTACCATTTTTTAAGAAAGAAAACAGCATATTGAAAAAATAAAATAGTAACATATAAACACTATAATCATTTTTATGCTTGACATGAAAATATTATGAATTATTCAAAATTTTAATATAAATTTAGTTTTTAGTTTCTAAAACTAGCATGCAAGGTATTGCTATTATTATGGTCATTTTAAGCTATGTGTGTTTTAGTGATTATCCTTCCCTTTAATCTATTTTTTAATATTTTTTAAATATATTAACTTATTAGTGTCTGTGTAGGACAGTGAGAGTGTGAGTGTGAGTACATGTGTGCATTGCACATTTAGAGGACAAGAGGCAGCTTTGGGGGAGTCTCTTCTCTCCTTCCACATCATTTCAGGGCACATTCTCTTGGTTCTGCTGTTGAAAATGTGGGTTTGTGGTCAATTCTTCTGTCTCCTCTTTCTATCTCATCATAAGAGTGCTAGGATTACATAAGCACATGAACAGATGGGCTTTCTGTGTGGGTTCAACCCTGAACTCTGGGTGTCAGGCTTGTGCGGCAAGAGTAGTTACCTGAGAAACCATCTCCCCAACCCTTAACGTGTGTGTGTGTGTGTGTGTGTGTGTGTGTTAGAAGTCAGATGATCCAAGGTGGAAAAACAAAATAAAATGGAACTACTTCCTATTCAATGTGTAAAGGTAACACAATTGAGTGAAAAAGAACAATTCAGTAAGCATATTGCTTATGTTTCTCCTTACATTTGAACAGGGCTTTATTAATTCTTAATGTCCTCTGACAAGCCAGTTGTGGCTTTTTATCTGTATGTTTGCTTGGTCATGTCTTTTCCTCTGTCTGACATGTAGGAAACTGGCTCATAGTGATTAAAATTGTCTCATGTAAATTAATCTGAGACTGGACTAAATCAATGGACACATGAACTGTTTCAAGACCACTTACTTAACATTTTATGTTGCAGAAGTCTATAGTTTTGTTATTTCACAATTCAAATGGGGTTAGGGATTACTGATTGGCTCTTATGCTTGAAGAGTTATTTCGACTGGAGAATGAGAAGCACTTTAGCTTTCTTGGAATTACTGAAAAGAAATTCAAGCTGAAGCCAGACTGTTTTATTAGACATAAAGATGTCTTACTTCATCAGCAATATTAGAGTGGAAAGTGACAGAATTCCTAAAGCCTGTTGAAGCAGCTGGGTTTTTGAGTAAAACAATAGGTACCTATAAGCTCCATTTATTGTTCTTCTGACATGAAAGAAAAGCATGAAAATCAGGAACATAATCACCGTGACATCAGGTGTTCTGTTAGAAGCTGCAGGATACACACAAAATATCAAACCTCTCTTTGGCAACATATTATGGAAAACATGTACAGTATACAAAGATAAAAGGTATATTGTAAATGTTGCAATAGGTTTGGTTAGTGTCCTCTGTAACAAATATGTTTATAAAATGGAAATTTGGAGATTTTAGTCCTGAAAAAGGACAAATAATAGACAAGTGTAATTTTACTATGAACACACTTGCAATGACAAAATCTCTGTGGTCATTTAAATGTGTTAATGAGGATCAATCTAAAGCCCCGTCTGCACAATGCTCAAATGACACAATGAGCTAATATAGAAACAATAGCTTCATTGATAATTGTTCTTCCAAGTTCTTATATCAAAGCAGTTTCACTGTGAGTAGATTACTGGGTCCATTCTATACCTGCTGAAGCAGGATTTTGATGTGAGACCTAGGAATATAGACATTGAAAATAAGCTTAAGTGGTTGTTTTGGATAACAAGATAATGTCTTTGTTATCATAGTATTTAAATGAACTCATTCCACTCTGTGCATATGAGCTTTTTAAAGAAATCAAGTTGCTAGTGCCGTGTCCAGGAATCATTTTAAATGTCAGAATCATCTACACATTACCCAACAATGGGTTGTCTTGGCTTTTCCAGAATGAATTAGAGTTGCAGTTTAATTCTGTATCAAGTTAAGGAAATTATTCAATATTTTTTGATCCTCAGTGATGACATACTCGTCTTGTCACAGTATATATTACATTTAGACCAATTTTCCTAACCCTGTTATGATCATTCATAACACTTTATATAAAATTATAAAGTAACATATTTATTTATTCCTGTCATTCACACTGACCAAGTAACACAGTCCTGTGGCCGAGTCCAAAGACTGATGGTTTTATCCTTTTCTGGTATGTGGTGGTATTGTGTTCCCCAAAATATTCTGCACCCTAATAAACTTATCTGGGGTCAGAGACAGAAGAGCCACTATATTAAACATAGAAGTTAGGCAGTGGTTGCACATGCCTTTAATCCTAGCATTCCAGAGACAGAAATCCATGTGTTCAAGGATACAGCCAAGCATGGTGACTCACGCCTTTAATCCCAGAGAGTGATGGTAGAAAGCAGAAAGGTATAGAAGGCGTGAGGACCAGAAACTAGCAGCATTTGGCTGGTTAAGCTTTCAGGCGTTCGAGCAGCAGTTCATCTGAGACTCATTCTGGATGAGGACTCAGAGGCCTCCAGTCTGAGGAAACAAGATCGGCTGAAAAGTTGGCCAGGTGAGGTTAGCTGTGGCTTGTTCTGTCTCTCTGATCTTCCAGTGTTCACCCCAATACTTGGCTCTGGGTTTGTTTTATTAATAAAGACTCCTTAAGATTCATGCTACACTGGTAAACTATTGATGTAGTTTTATTTCTCATAGTTGATTAGAGTAAGTTCACTTAGATTTGTAAATTTGTAATCTCAATAAATATGTGTATTTTGAAATGAGCATAATTATGGTAACTAAGAAATTATTTAAAATATGTACCTACTATACCTACAACATAAGGGTACATAGGAATTATGATAAAATTTTCATTTATTTTAATGTATTTCAGCCACTTATATGTTGATGTCTCATGATTTCAATGGCAAATAAGAATTAAGTAGGTTACCTATATTAGGATGGAAAACATGTTTTGTACCTGCCTGAGAGGTGAAGATGAAGCCTATAAAGAAACAAGGCAGGTGGGGCTAATTTTACTTAATTATATAGATCCCTTGATTTAGTCTACACAGCCTCAGCATTTATAAAAATTACCTAATTAAGATGCCTCCCTTAAATGTGGGTTACATCCAGAGAGGAACACGTTACAAAAGTGTAACTGAGTAAACAAGTAGTGAGCTCCCATACCTCCGCTGGGTCTCTTCCTCCTCCTCCTCCCTCACCTCCTTCTTCCTTGTACCACCTTACCCACCTCTTTTCATCTCTTGCTCTCTTGTCTCTCTCTTCTCTCTTTCATACTCTTCAATCTGTCTTCATCAATTTCACAGAGGAAACGGATCGAAGAAAAGCTCCCTGGCAATTGTTTTCTGCTATTATTATTATTTAGTGGAAGTTGGAGCACAGTCACATTCAGCCACTGCTGTGGCCTGCAAAATAAAACTTAGCATGTTCTGCTCTTTTCATAGTGGTCTCCTAAGTTTAGTGGAATGCAGCCTACATGTTATAAGGCATAAAATGCTTTAGTTGTAGCAATTTGATAGTCAAAGTTATGAAGCAAAATATATAAACGCTTGTGGTGATATTGTGTTTCCCAAAATATTGTGCACCCTAATAAACTTATCTGGGGTCAGAGAACAGAACAGCCACTAGATAGATATAGAGGCTGGAAAATGGTAACACTCACACCTTTAATCCTAGCATTGCAGAGGCAGAGATCCATCTGGATCTCTGTGAGTTCAAAGCCACACTGGAAACAGCTAGGCATGGTAACAAGAGCCTTTAATCCCAGGAACTGATGGCAGGAAAGCAGAAAGGTATTTAAGGCATGAGGACAAGGAACTAGAGCCTGGTTAAGCTTTTAGGCTCTTAGCAGCAGTTCAGCTGAGATCCATTTGGGTGAAGGTTTCCATTCTGAGGAAACAGGATCAGCTGAGGAATTGGTGAGGTGAGGAAGCTGTGGCTTGTTCTGCTTCTATGATCTTCCAGCATTCACCACAATACCTGGTTCTGGGTTTGTTTTTATTAATAAGACCTTTTTAGGATTCATGTAACAAACAGTTCTTTGTATAATACACACATTATCAAAGATGGGGG